CAACCTAAACGTGCCTCCCACCTTTGATCAGGTTTAGTTTCCTCATTATACTGTTTCCATAAGAGCATTCGCCGTCTGTCTTAAGTTTTTTTTTTTTACACAAAGTATGTTAATTGCTACCTGAGTTTTGACTACTTTTAGATTTTAGTACATGAAATTCAATATTTCGGTTTAATTTCCCCATTTTTCTGTTTTAGAGGAACATTCGCTATATTTTTATTGCGTTATAAGCTTTTTTTTAACTAGATTTATCGTATTTCACTCGATTTCATGAGCTTTCATAGGATTACATGTGTGTGCATTTATCTATTTAACTGTGTGTATCTATGTGTATTGATTTGTTAATAATGGTTATAAAAATATGTTTTTGAACAAACAGGTAGCTTTTATTAATAGTTCTATAGCCTTTTCAACAGGATAGTGATAGATATTTCTTTGATGATGGATTTGATTTTAGTAATCTTACTTTAAAATTCATTGTGTAGATTACAGTAGGAAGGGGTTGTGCATATTGTTAGGGGTTGGAAGAGCTAATCGAGGGGAAGAATAGATGAGCTATCAAGTTGAAAATGCATGTAAATAGTCACATAACAATGATCTGAAGTATTAGAAACGCTTATTGAGGGGTGGATCTTGTGCTCTTTTGGAATAATAACATTATTGCCTTGACAATACAGATCTTCCAGCAGCAGAGATCAGCCAATATAAACTTGTATTTTCCCCCTTTTGGCTCTCATTCCTAGTTGCTGCAGAAAGAGCAGGAAAATCAAAGGTAACATATTACATTTGTGTGGTACTTGATTTTGAAAAAAAAAATATGCTGCTATACTCGATTTAACACCTAACCCGAAGAAAAAAAAAGAAAAAAAAAACAGTATTTGTTTGTACCGCTTGGTTTCAATGAAAAACAATATTTTTTTTGTATGATTTGTTAAAAATGGTATGAACATTGTGAAATTTTGTTAAAACTATATGAACATTGTGAAATTTTGTTTTATGAAACATAAGGGTAAAACGGTAATTTAGTCTAGTTAAAAAAAGAAGGTGTCTCGTGTATTATGCTTGTACCCTCTGGTTGTCTATATTCAAACTGTGAATCGTCCTTGACCTTTCTTTCTTTTTGTGAAAACTAGTATAGGTGGCTTTCCTCAAGATCATGTAGCCCTACAAAGTCACCATTTGAAGAAAAATTTCTCTCACAACAACCTCAAGCTCCAGCTGGATGGCCAAATTTTCTGTGTGTATGTTCTGTTTTCACATATGGATCTATTCAGCTCCAATGGTCTGAATGTGACAACCCGAAATTTTCATTTGTATAAACTCTACAGTCAAGCACTACAAATATTAGTCAAATTCATTTTGGAAATTTTTAGCCGGTTTTAAGTCCGTTTGGGTGTTTTTATTTTAAATTCGTCAAACGAATAAATAAAAGGAAGTATCGTTATAAGTGATGTGTAACAATTAAACATTTCAACACCATAACAAGGTGTTTACGGCCAAACTTGGGGAGTTTGGGCCGTAAACTCCTTTTGACAATGAACTCATGCATATAGCATGAGTTTACCCTTCATTCCCTCACTTTACACTTCCAAACTCAAGAACTCCCAACTTCTCTCTCAAGTATCATAACACTCTCCTTCCAATCTTCCAAAAATGTAAGTTTTTCTTGACTTGATTTGTTATTATAACCTTCCTTCTAGTTGTTATACATCATTTCATCCATAAATTCTTCATTTTTACTTAGATCTTCAAGTGTTCTTCAAAACACCAAGAACACCAAGAACACACACTAGTGTTCCTTAGCCCTAAACACTCTTACAAGCTTCCTATAAGTAAGTACACTCCTCCTAACTAGTTACTTGCTTAGAATACTTGCTAAACCATTGAAGAACACCAAAAACCCCCAAGAACACATGGGTTTACGGTCAAGGGATATCCTTGAATCGTAAACACCATCTAGTGGTGTTTAAGTGCCACTAACACCTTCTAAGGCTTGGATATTAGGCTACAACCTTGCATGCATGAGCTAGAAACCCCAAATCATGAAATGGTTGGAGTGACCATGAGTTTACGGCCGTAAACTCATGGGTTTACGACCGTAAACTCAAGGGTTTACGACCGTCAACTCCCAAGGAGTGGTCCAAGGACCGTAAACTCCAAAGATGAGCCATTTCGAGCCCTAGTCCCTTCCTAAGCCTTTGATTCAAACCTAGAACACTTCCTTGAGGGGTATAGGACCTTAAAACACACAAATGTACAATTTACCATGATTTTACGGCCGTAAACTCATCGGGGGAATGACCAACAACCGTAAACACATTTAGGGTTACCAAATGAGAAGTAAACTCCAATGTGGGCCATACTCTCCTTAGATGCAACACTTTAGCACTCCTAGCACTTGAAACAAAGTGTTTCCATGTATTAGGATGCCTTTACTTGATTAATTAGTTGTTAAATGACTAATTAGATACATTTATGTATCACTACATGTTACATAGGATCCGTGTGTGTGTTCAAGTCCTCACTTGACACTTAGCATCCTATCCGACGCTTCCATCCAAACCACTCACTGCAGGTGAGTTCATACCCCTTAATCAACCTTTTTAAATGTTTTAAATGCTTTTATGGGGGGAAGGATACAAGTTGAACCATTCTAGTTATCGCTTTAATCACATGTGATTAATAACTAGAATAAACAGAAAGATTTACTACTACTTTCAAATTATTATCAAACTTATGGATTTTCAAGCTTTCAAACCTTTTTATTAAACTATTTAGATGCTAAAACTGTTTTCAAACTCTTTTATACTTACAATATTTTCAAATCCATATCTACATCACTATATTTATATAAGTAAGACTTGAAGGACTTAGGACTGATAGCTCACCTTACTTCCTGTTCCTTGTTTGGTTGTGGACTTAGGGTATCCTGTTATCTGTCCGAATGTCGTTGAATTCTTAGTTATATATCATATATATATATATATATATATATATATATATATATATATATGTGTGTGTGTGTGTGTGTTGGATATAAAAGCTTTTACTTCAGTACTGTACCTTTGTGTAACAAAGGCATCCAAACAACCTTACTATTTAGCTATAATAGGTATAGTTAAGGGATTATTATTCACTATTATTATTACTCATACAAGAGTCAGTACATTTATGAGTCACTACATAAGTACTACATTGAGTAACAATACATGCTATACACTATACAAGAGAACATACTAAACACTATACAAGAGAACATACTATACACTATACAAATATTGAATACTATAACGAAATGCGACATACTACTTCTCGATACGACACTTCATAGTGGTATCACCGTGTAACCAGAGTCTCCTGGAGGGAGAGCGAGCATTGTGTGTATAGATCTATACGGGACAGACACTCCCACATCCCGACTGCTAGCTACAGTCCGAGCCGATACGGCCCAGGGGTGACAAAATGTCACACTACTACATATGACCTGGAGGGTCATCAGTTATTCAGCCGTCAATTAGCATGGTTACATACGAGTTCACATTCAAACCTTTATTTTGTAATCACATTATCTGAGTGAAGTCTAAAACTATATTTTCATACTGATAGTTTCACTAGGGAAAAACTCTTACATTTACAAAAGAACAATCATCCAAACAATTGGGTCTTGGTAGAAGACTACCTTTTTACTGGAAAACACAGGGTTTTCTAGGGAGTATACTATTTCCAAAACATTTGAAATCAATTACTACACTGCATTGTTACTAACATTTTTATACAAGCAAAGACACTAAATACTTATGAAATCACCAGCTTTATGCTGATACTCGCTTTCAAAATAACTTGTATTCTCAGGTCATCAGTAGACAGGTACAGATGAAGCTTCTGAGAAGATGGAGCACATACAAGACTCATCTTTTATTTTGATTATACTTTTGGTGTCTTACAAACTGTACAGAACACGCTTGTATTACAATTATTATATTAATGCAATGGACGTTGTTGCTTGTCTTTACTACAATGCATTGTTGTGATACTGTACATGACGTCCTCCACCCCAGAACGTTTCCGCCGTTCTTGGTTTTGGGGTGTGACACTGAATGGCCACTGAATCAAAGTGGCACATCTGAATGGTATTGCACAAGCAAAGCCCTCTTGGGAGCTGGGCCTAGTGGGATTATGACAACTCATGCAATCATGACAGATTTAGGAGCTTTACATGTGGCAGGAGTCCCAATTGTGAACCCGTCAATACAATGTTGCTTTTTTTTAATGTGGAATTGAATATGGTTTATCTGAAGTTAAATTAAAATTGCTGGAAATCTGGTAAAAGCCATATTGGTTATAATGTTGATTTTCTGGACATTAATTGGTTGTGCCGGATTACAGGTGCATAAAGATGCAACAACAGAAAACAGTAGGTGAACGCTTAATTACTTTGACATTGGGAGGCCACTAGGGAGAGGAAAGTTTGGTCATATCTACATAGCTAAGGAGAAGATCTGGAGTTATCTGGTGAAAGTGAAAGAAGTGAAAGATATTAATGACTTGGTATTGAGGTTTGACCAATTTCAGTCTGCATGTTGGGCGTTGACCAAGTCATGGATTGATGTTCAAGTTGATTTGGAGTTATCTGGTGAAAGTGAAAGAAGTGAAGATATTAATCTGAATCACTTCTTGGACCTGAAAATTGGCCACTTCAAGTATTAAACCAACAACCACGTGACCTTTCTGCCCTTCTTCAAAAGCTTCATTTAAGGTAAAAGTATAAATCTGGGATTTATATTTTTAGTTTAACAAAGATTTTTGGTACTTAATTTTTTTTTTAATTTATTTATGATTTAGTGAGTCTGTATATAAAGCTGTAACTCGAGGGTGTAAGGAGCAACATCGCCAGATCGACGTTTTCATTTTTTTCTTTTCCTTTTTACAATTTTTTATTTGAATAGAAATAAGTCAAATAACATGATTTTTTTTATTAATTTTGTAAACAGATGAGTTTAATGTTAGGGGATATTCCTCGTTTACTTGACCTTATATGGTCATGGATATCTCCATCAGGAGGCGATGAAGATATCTTCAGGTAAATAAATCATCACTCTTTCATTTCATTTTTTATAAAGTTTTTTCATTTTTAGATTTTCTTGAAATTGTTTTTTTCTTTTTGGAAGGCCTCATGGGGACCCACAGATGATCCGTTTTGGGGCACATTTAGTTCTTGTGCTTCGTCATTTACTAGCTGATGAAATGAAACATGCTTTCAAGGAGAAGACAATGACTCTTGGTGATCTTATTCTTCACATGTCAGTCTTTTACTATCCTTTTTTTCAATAATTAACTTTATTTCTTTTAACTTGTTTGAACTTAATATGGTCAAATATGTAATTTTCAGGTATGCTGTGTTTCTTTTTTCAAAACAACAAGAAGAGTTGGTCGGAATCCATGCATCTCAGCTTGCACGCCATCGTTGGAGTTACGCTTGAATTGCAGGTGAATTTTTATACATATAACAAAATATTTACATTTGTGTATTTTTAATACTTTTTTTAATGTTTGGTAGTGTTCATGTCCAATACAAAATCTTTCTTTCTGCTATAGAGTACCTCCCGTTTTCCCCTGGAGATGATTCAAATGGCAGTTTTGAAAAAGGAAGCTGTGAAGAAATTATGTCTATGGTGTCAACTTTTGACTTGAAAAAAAATGTTTTGTATTATAGGTTATTATAGCTACTTGTATGCAAAGTGTTTTGCATCAACCATATGGGAAAGAGTATGCAAGGAGGATCCAGTGTGAATAGAGACTGGTACTACTATTAGAACAAAGTTACCGCAACATGGTGGAGCTAAACATCCTGCACAGTTACTTAATGATCTTGCTGGTGATGGGATTACAAGGAGCTACCAAAATCATGGACATGGAGGAGGTATAGTTCCAAAAATGGCATAACATGTAATGAATTGAACTTAAGAAGATGAAACAAAATCACGATTTTGCCCTCCTAAGCTGCCAACAATTTTCCTTATGGTTTGATGTAAGACCTACTGCTAGGTCATGTTTTTCCTAGACTCATTTTACATCATTAATACCAGTAATATTGGCAGTTGTCTAATATGTGGAAAGTCTTTACTCTTGTGTTTCCCTAATTTATTTGTTGTACCTCTATCTGATAGTTGGACTATGACGATTTAGTCCATGAATCACTATCATCTTACTTACAATAGATCCTTACTATTGTCATCATCCCTATCAACTTTCAGTAAAAGATGTCGCCTCGTCCACGTCCAACCCGGGGCAGACCTGCAACCCAAACTCCGCCACCACCACTTCCTCCGCAGTTCGATGCGGTTATGTTCCAAGCAGCTATGACCGCAGCTGTAAATGCGGCCATGGCTCAAGTAAATTCTGGTGGCGCCAGTGGAGGTGGAATGGGCACTATCTTTAGCCATGGTGAAACCCAACCAAGTGCACGGGAGTGCACCTATAAAGATTTCATCAGCTGCAAACCAACCTACTTCAACGGAACCGGAGGGATCCTTGTACTATCCCAATGGATCGAGAGAACAGAAGCAATCTTCGAAATGTGCTCATGCCCTGAGGGAAGCAAGATAAAGTTCGCTGCTTGCACCTTCATCGAAAGGGCCCTGACGTGGTGGAATGGCCATGTCAAATCACTCTCACTGGTAACAGCCAACGTCATGGGCTGGGACACACTGAAGGACCTTCTGACAAGGGAGTACTTCCCGAGCGGCGAAATTCAGAAACTCGAGTAGGAACTGTGGAACCTCAATATGCAGGGTTCCGAGATAGTGGCTTATACAGCCAGGTTCTGCGACCTGGTCGCTCTATGTCCTAACATGGTCCCCACCGAAAACAAAAAGATGGAAAGATACATCTGGGGTCTGGTGCCCCCATATCGAGGGAACGTTCTAGCGTCACACACCCTGCGACCTTTGACAGCGCCAAGGAATTGGCCCAAAGGCTGATTGATCATGAAGTTCCCTCTACTCCATCAACGACTACCCCCGCATCAACCAAGACATCTGACAACAAGAGGAAGCGGTGGGACCGAAAGAAGGGTAAATCAGCTCAATCCTCTTCCAAGAACCAACAAACGGTGGCTGTCTGTGCTGCCACTACTCCTGCTGCCCCTGTACCAGCCAAAACATATGAAGGGAGCCTACCCAAGTGCACTAAGTGCTCTTTCCATCATAACGGCCCCTGCCGTGAGATGCATTGCACTAATTGCGACCGGAAGGGCCATACCGCCCGGTTTGCAGAGCACAACCCAAACCCATCACCTAGGTTCCCAGTTCCGGAGTGAGTCAAGCCTGCTACGGTCGCGGCGAGACAGGGCACTTCAAAAGAAACTGCCCTACGGCTGGGAATGCGGGAGGAGCAGGAAGACTACTTGCTATTGGCCACAATGAGGCCGTGGCAGACCCCACGGTAGTCACGGGTACGTTCCTTCTCGATAAGTCTTATGCTTGTATCCTATTCGATAGTGGGGCAGAAAGGAGCTTCGTAAACCAAAAATTTAAACACTTACTTAAACAACCACCACAAAGACTAAAAGAAACCTTCGTCGTAGAAATGGCTAACGGCAAGACAGAGAGTTCTAACGAGATTTACATAAGTTGTACCCTCACGCTAGATAATCATTCGTTCCCAATCGACCTTATACCAGTAGCTATCCAGAGTTTCGACGTCATCATAGGCATGGACTGGCTGAGTCTTTATCGTGTCGACATTCTGTATTTCGAAAAAGCAGTCCGCCTGAATCTACCGAATAACGAAACCTTGTTGATCTACGGAGACAAATCCAGTACGAGCCTTCGTATCATCTCGAATATTCAAGCCCAAAAGTAGCTACGTAAGGAATATCGTGCATTCCTGGCGCACATTGTCGATACGAGCCAGAAAACAAAAGACCTAAAAGACCTCCCCGTAGTACGCGATTTTCCCGATGTCTTTCCGGAAGAACTCCCAGGATTACCCCCGCAACGTCAAGTCGAGTTCCGAATCGACTTAATTCCAGGAGCAACCCCGTAGCCAAATCGCCCTATCGTCTAGCACCTGCTGAGATGCAAGAACTGTCCGATCAACTTAACGAACTGCTCAGCAAGGGCTTTATAAGACCAAGCTTCTCGCCCGGGGGAGCACCAGTCTTGTTCGTGAAGAAGAAAGACGGATCGTTCCGTATGTGCATCGATTATAGGGAACTCAACAAGCTTACAATCAAGAATCGTTACCCTCTTCCTCACATAGACGATTTATTTGACCAGCTGCAAGGGGCGAGCTACTTTTCCAAGATTGATCTGAGGTCCGGGTATCACCAGTTATGAGTGCTGGAGGAGGATGTCCCGAAGACAGCCTTCCGAGCTCATTACGGACACTACGAGTTCGTAGTGATGCCATTCGGATTGACCAATGCGCATGCAGTATTCATGGACTTGATGAATAGAGTATGATGTCCTTACTTGGATCAGTTCGTCATAGTTTTCATCGATGACATACTTATCTATTCTCGAAGTAAGGAGGAGCTTAGCGATCATTTACGACAAGTCCTAGGAACCCTACAATCAGAGAAGCTTTATGCGAAGTTCTCTAAATGCGAATTTTGGATCCGAAGAGTCAAATTCTTAGGACGCGTGGTCAGCGAAGAAGGAATCCATGTGGATCCATCCAAAATTAAGGCTATTGAGAACTGGTCAGCACCAAAGACACCTACAGAAATTCGTTAATTTCTAGGTCTCGCTGGCTACTACCGCATGTTCATTCAAAACTTATCTCGAATCGCGAAACCCCTTACGACATTGACCCAGAAAGGCGTGGCCTTTGACTGGGAAGAGAAGCAAGAGAAGGCATTCCAAAGCCTGAAGCGAGCCTTATGCACCGCACCAGTACTGTCCTTCCCCGAAGGGATAGAAGACTTCGTGGTATATTGCGATGCATCCAATCAGGTGCTCGGCTGTGTTCTGATGCAACGAGGTAAGGTCATTGCCTACGCCTCAAGATAGCTGAAAACACACGAAGTCAACTACACCACACACGATCTCGAATTAGGGGGAGTTGTGTTTGCCCTAAAGATCTGGAGACACTACCTGTATGGTACGAAGAGCACTATCTTTACAGACCACAAAATCCTACAACACATATTCAACCAGAAGGAGCTCAATATAAGACAACGACGGTGGGTCGAGCTACTCAATGACTACGAATGCGAAATTCGTTATCATCCGGGTAAAGCCAACGTGGTAGCAGACGCCCTAAGTCGGAAAGAATATTCGGGTCGAAGAGTCAAGTCATTAACAATGACTATCCATTCGTATATATCCGCACAAATTAAAGAGGCTCAGCTTGAAGCCTTGAAGCCTGAAAATGTAGCGGGAGAATCCCTGCGCGGAATGGATAAGAACTTGGTAGTCAAGGGTGACGGAGCCCTATATCTCATGGACCGGATCTGGACACCGCAACACGGTGGCTTCAGAGACCTGGTCATGAAGGAAGCACACAACACTCGATATTCCGTCCACCCGGGTTCAGATAAGATGTATCTGGATCTTAAAAAGTCATACTGGTGGCCTAACATGAAAGCAAATATTGCTACCTTCGTGAGTAAATGCCTTACTTGCGCCAAGGTCAAGGTCGAATACCAGAAACCGTCAGGTCTACTCCAACAACCAGAGATACCTGAGTGGAAGTGGGAGCGGATCACTATGGACTTCACAATGGGTGGGCTTGATACAATTTGGGTCATCGTCGACAGATTGACCAAGTCCGCGCACTTCCTACCCATCAAAGAGACCGATAAAATGGAGAAGCTCACAAGAACATACATTAGGGAGATCGTACGGCTGGATGGTGTCCCTATATCTATTATCTCCGACAGAGATAGCAGATTCACTTCGATGTTCTGGCAGTCACTACAAAGCTGCTTAGGAACGAGGCTAGACATGAGTACAACCTACCATCCACAGACCGACGGACAAAGTGAGAGAACTATCCAAACCTTGGAAGATATGCTGCGAGCCTGTGTGATCGACTTTGGGAAGGCATGGGATACTCATTTACCCCTTGTTGAATTTTCCTACAACCAAAATTATCACACGAGCATAAAGGCTGCTCCATTTGAAGCCCTCTACGGGCGGAAGTGAAGATCCCCTCTGTGCTGGGCTGAAGTGGGTGACACTCAGTTAGCTAAATGTGACACCCAAATTTTTACAAAAATTTTAAACTTTTAAAACCCATCTTAAACTAAATTAAAACAACTGAAATAGTCATAACATAATTCATCAACTTAATAATCATATAAAATAAGTGTGGAAGTAATAATAATAATAATAAGGTCCCAACAAAAATAACTAGTAGCGATGTCCCGGTGCTCCATGTCAAGCCTTAGCCTCTTTAATCTTAACACCTGAAAAGTTATAAAGGAAACCGTAAGCACAAAGCTTAGTGAATTCAAACACAGACATTGTAGTAA